AATAATACATGGAAACAAACAGCCAAATGCCCAACCACAAATGAATGGATTGAGAAATTATGGTACATTCACACAATGGAATACAATGCAGCACACTGGAGGAATGATGTTGTAAATTATCACTTCACTTGGGAGGGACTGGAGAGCATTATGCTGAGTGAACTAACTCAGCCCCACAAGGATAAATATTGTATAAGACCATTATTGTAGAATGAGCATAAGGATCCAAGAGGGGTTAGAGAGGTTGGAAACAGAGGGATGTGGATATGCGGGGGAAGGGGAGATTAATTGTGGGGTTGTACAATTTGATGGGTGAGGGGTTGAGGGAAATTGAAAGAATTTGTTCTTGACAACAATGTATTTGAATTTTGTAAATAAACTAGTAGAAAAAGAAAAAATAATAACCTTGCAGAGAACATTTTGAAATATAAATGAGATGATGATGTATAAAGTAGCAGCATAATGAATCACACTCAGAACCAAACCTATTGTTAATGAATCGAGGCCTATTATTAGAAGTCCTGTATTTGACTGTGTGGATCACAATAAACTGTAAGCAACATTGAGAAGAATAGGAATCCCAGAAAACTTTATTGTGCTCATGTGAAACCTATTCTTAGACCAGAAAGCAGTCTTCAGAACAGAGCAGAAATACACAGCATGGTTCAAAATCAGGGAAGGAATGCTTCAGGGATGTATCTTGTTTTCATACATTTTCAGTTTATATGCGAAACAGATCATTCGGGAGGCTGGGCTTTATAAAGAAGATGTGGCACCAGGATTGGAGGAAGACTCATCAACAACCTGCGTTATGCAGATGACAGAACCTTGCCTGCTAAAACCTGCTAAGCCTGAAGCATTTGTTGCAGAAGGTCAAGAACTGCAGTTTTCAATGTGAGTTGAAGCTCAACATGAAGAAGACAAAGATTCTCACACTGGGCCAAGTGGCAGCATCATGACAGATGGAGAAGAGATTGATGTTAACAATTTCAGCTTGCTCAGTTCCACAATCAACACTCTCAGCACCACCAGTCAGGAAATAAAAAGAAAAATTGCACTGGGAAAACCTGCTCTCAGGGACCTCTCCAGAGTGCTAAAGAGCAACACTGACAGTCTGAAGATTAAGGTGCACCTAATCCAGGCCTGCCTCATGCGGATGACACAACTCTACTTGCTGAAACTGAGGAGGACCCGAAGCACTGCTGCACAAGGTCAGGACTGCAGCCTTCAATATGGATTGAAGCTAAACATCAAGAAAACAAAGATTCTCACCACTGGGCCAATTGGCAGCATTAGTATGGATGGTGAAGAGATAGTTAATAGTTTTAGTTTACTTGGTTCTACAGTCAACACTCTTGATAACAGCAGCCAGGAAATCAGGAGACGAATTGCATTGGGAATGTCAGCTGTGAGGGACATCTCAAGAGTACTGAAGAGCAACAACATCAGACTGGAGACTAGGGTGCGCCTGATCCAGGCTATGGTCTTTGCAATTACGTGCTATGCATTGGAGAGTTGGACAGTGAATAGGGATGATAGAGAACTGATGCCTTTGAGCTGTGGTGCTGGAGAAGAGTGTTAAATATACCATGGACTGCTAGGAGAACAAACAGGGTTTTCCTGGAGAGGGTGAAGCCAGAATGCTCCTTGGCGTCAAGGCTTCTGAAGCTTTGTCTGATATACTTTGGGCATGTTGCAAGGAGGGACTGGTCCTTGGAGAGGGACATCATGTTTGGCAGAGTTGAGGGGCAGCAAAGGAGAGGAAGACCATCGATGAGTAGATCGATTCTGTGAGTGGAGTGGTGGGAATGAGTGTGTATGAGATGTCGAGGTTCACACAGGATAGAACGGCATTTAGGGCTCTTGTACATAGGGTCGTTATGAGTCGCAAACGACTGGATGGCACATAACAACAACAACAACAACAATCCAGGCCATGTTTTTTGCAATTATTTGCTATGCATCATAGAGCTGGACAATGATTAAGGATAATAGAAGAACTAATGTCTTTGATTTGTGGTGCTGTAGAAGAGAATTAAACATACCAATGATTACTAAGAGAACAAACAGGTCTGTTTCGGAGAGGTTGAAACCAAATTATTCCTTGAAAGCAAGAATTTTGAAGGTCCATTTCACATACTTTGTGTATGTGGCCAGGAAGGACTAGTCCTTTGAGAGGGCCATCATGCTTGGAAGGATGGAGGGACAGGGCAAGAGAGGAAGAACATGGCTGAGATGGATTAACACAGTAACTGGGGTAATGGGGATAAGTATGTTGGAGACAATGAGGTTGGGTGAGAACAGGGCAGGGTTCAGGGCTGTTGTTCATAGGATCACTATGAGTTGAAGTAAACGCAAAGGAATATAACAATAACAACAAGCACAACAACAGAAGTCTTGTAGAACACAGTAGAATTTCTCCACAGAGTTTACAAGGCTGTAAATTTTTATAGAAGCAGATGGCTCCATATATTTCCATCTGGGGGTTGGCTAATGGGTTCAAATGAACAACCTTTCAGTTACTGAGAGTGCTTTAACCACTAGGGGTCAATTAATATTGCTGTTGTGTACCACTGGGTTGAAACCAACCCACAGTTGATCCTCCAGTAGGTTTTCAGAGGCAATTAATCATACAGGAGGAGAGTGCCCATCCTTCTCCAGCAGAGAGTGGATTCAAACCACCTGCCTTCGAGATTGCAGCACAGCTTCTTGCCACTAGGCCACCAGTGTGCAATTAATAGTAGCCAATCCATCAACAGTAGTCATTATTCTTAAAGAGCAGTGTGACTTACATCATTTCTAGGATGCTTTCTTCCCTTTCCACAGTCAAATTTTATTTCTCTTTCCTTTGTGTTCCAACATTTTTACTTGTCTATTACCATGTGTTGTACTAAAATTATGTGTCTATTTTCCTAAGTTGTAAACCCTTGAAGGACAGCTGCTGAGTCTCTGGCCATCTTTTATTACCACAGGAAACCTATCTGATAATCTAAATGAATAAAGTACATGGTCCCTGTCCTTAAGGTATTTACAGTTTAGTTGAAGAAAGAATAGCTCCTTTGACTTATAATACAGAAAAAACATACGAATTTGGGGTTGTATATTAGAAAACCAAGAGTCTGAATTTAAAGTCAGTAAGACTAGGTTCAAATTTTAATTTGGTATTTATTACATATGATGCTTAGCAAAGACTTAAACTTCATTGAAATCTTTGTGTCCTTTTCTGTAAAATGAGGATTCAACGCTATTCTCTAGGCCACAACTTCTCTGCCTCTTCTTATTCACAATTAACAATAACAAAGAAAAAAAAGAAAAGAAAAAAAATTGGCTATACTGATTTTCTTCACTTTTAAACTTCTCATTCTCTCTTGATCTTCCTGCAATTTTGCTCCACGCTCTATTTATTCTTTCGAGAGTGACTGTTTGAATCCATAATTGTAAGCACTATGTCAATTCATCTTGCACAACAACTTTCTCTTTGCTTCTGACCTTCTACTATAGAAGGCATGACGTCCTTCTCCAAGGATGATCCCTCCTGACAACGTCAAAAGACAGGGAGACAAAGTCTTACCAATCTCCCTTCTAAGGAGCGTTCTGGCTGTCCTCCTTTCAAAACAGATTTATACATGCCTCTGCCAGCCCATGGTATATTCAATTCTCTTTTTAACACCCAATTCAAAGGCATCAATTTTCCTTCTGTTTTTCTTTTTCACATGCAAATGAGGTGACTGAAAGTGTTATGGCTTGGCCAAGGATGTCATTGAAAAATATTTCAAATGCAAGAAATACAACCAATAAAGAACTATGCATATTAAAAAAACATTATGGCTTGCATCAGGCATAAGTCAGTCCTCAAAGTGACATTTCTGTTTTTAACACTTTAAGGAGGTCTTCTACCACAGATTTACCAGACATTTTGCTTATTGGTCTAGTTGTGAGGATTCTTATTCTTTAGGTTGAGCTATAATCCCTACTGAGGGCTGCAATCTTTGATTTCCATCAGTAAATGTTTCAAGTCTCCTCCACTCCCAGAAAGTAAGGTCATGCCATCTGCATATCGTTAATGTGTCTTCCTCTAATCCCTATGTTACATCCTTCTTCCTTAGCTCAGCTTCTAGGATTACTGATTCAGTATAGAGAGTGAATGAAAGGTTACAACTCTAATGCACGTTTTCCCCTGATTTTAAGCAATGCAATATCTCCTTGTTACATTCAAATGACTACCTTTTGGGCTATGTGCAGGTTCTACTTGGTCATAAATAATTGTTCCATTGTTTGCAGTGCTATTCACAATATAATATGATTCCTATCCCCTCCTGAATCCAGTATGAATTCCTGGCAGTTCCCTGTCAGTATTGCTGTAACTGGGTTTTAATTCTCTTCAGAAAAATTTTACTTTGTGTGTGATTCTAATGATTTTGTTTAATATTTTCTATACAAGTATAACATAAGAACTTCCAGGGAATCTTTTTCAAAATATAGATGATGAGGTACATCTGAATTTTAGGGTCTGTATATTTTAAATATGATGCTTATATCACTAATACCCCACCATCACACTGAGAAATGATGATATAAGCCAATAATTCCGTGAACATATTTGGAATTAATTCTATGAGTTAATGGAGAATCTGGAATGATTAAAGACATTAAATCTAAGCAATTAGCTTGAGAGAAGCTTTTTGTGAAATTGAGAACTAATACTGTCTGATCTTAAACATACAGAAGGAATCCAGTGTTCAAATCCCAAATAAAACCCTTCTCCCAACAATGCCTTTATTTCTACAGAAGCATCATGAAATAAAAAAAAGTTTTCTCAAAATCCCTTGCTATTTTACTAAGCTTACTGATATCTTTGCAGTGAAAAAAACATTTAGACATTCTTTGTTGCCTTTCAAAGTCCCCAAAATAGAAAATTCAGTCAAATTCATTTTTATGAATTCAATACATTGATTTCACAATTCATCATTAGAAGAAAAGATTCCAAAACAAAGTTCTACCTGGTTTTGAAGGTGCAGTGTCAGCCGGTCCTAACTGTTTTTTCCTTTTGGCTTCCTCCACTGGATTTTCAAATTGAGTCTTCTGGTTAAGGTGACTGGGAAATGTAGTGGGGAGGAAAAACGCATTTCAATTTACAATAAACAAATTGCATATTTTAAAATAAACTACCATACCATTCATAGATTAAGGAACAAATATGTTGGATAATACAGCACAGAGAAGCAGAGACATCATAGCAGAGGCATTTTTTGAAACTACAGAGGGGCCTTCAGAAATGCCGAGAAGTCAAAGCTGCTGAAACTTACGGGTATTTAATTTACTCTGTTGTTTTTGGGAGGCAGCGAGTCAACTATGCCTCATAGTGTCATCAAAAAAATATCCAATACGGGTGCCTTCTGCTTTTCACATGTTTGCTTTACACAATTTCACTTCTATTAAAGATTCCCATTATCACGTTTGGTAACAAAAAGAAATATGAAGATTTTTACTTTAAATAAAAACCAGCAAAAATGAAACTGCATTGAGCATTGATTTTGCAGCCATTAAAGTAGCAAGTGTGTACCTGGAGCAGTTACAATGACGTGGCCAAGCCCCATCCCATGGATCTCTCTCTACTCAGCACCTCAGAGGCAAACCGTATTAGTGTCATTTTGGGTTTTATGTGGTATTTGGTATGATTTGGTCGTTACTCATTTAATATATAAATGCTCGAAAACATTTTCTGTATAAATTAACAATAACTGCCTCTTTGCTTTATGCCATTTGGCTTGCAAAAGTGTTTATGGGAATGTTCTACTTTCCGATAACCATTAAGAGTTTTCAAAACTACAGCAGATGATCTTTCATTTGTTGTGATAAGAACTGGTGATAATTGGGGGGAAGTCTTTGTTTCTCCAGAAAAGAAGACTTTGAAGACACTTTGGAGGAAATCTGAGTACTGAACCCTTCCAGAATTTTACTACTGTTATTCAAACTGACTCACCTACTCAAATTTAGCAGCAATATTTTTAGCAATTTGGTTTTAGCAAATCATATCACAGATCAACTCTTTTATACTCAGATTTCTCTACAGTAGTGTAATGATTAAATGAATTATGTTATTGTAACATAAATTGCAAGAAAAACCCCTGACATTTATCATTTGTAATCAATCACAACTGAGTGGGGGCTAAAACACTGAAATGACAGGAGTCTAATAACTTGTCAGTGTGTTTAGCATACTATAGGCAACTGTTTTCTGGGGGAAGGAAGCACTGGCTACTCTGGCAAGTCAAGTAAATAGAAATTGGTTAAGAAACATGATTAAGGCTGCAGATATAGGTCTAATAAGGAAGCAAAAGGCATATTTTAGTACTTCCACAGTCAAAATATAATTCCCCTAAATGCTATGTGTTTTCCAATAAAATAGTAAGATTCTTTTTGGTAATAGAGGACATTGATAAATATCAGAATTCAAACATTATGTCACAAAAATTTCTGAATAACTGTTCTTATGTAAGGGAGCTCTGGAGGTGTAGACCACAGGGAGTTGTGGGATAACCCAAACATGGCACTCCTCTGGAAGTTTGAATCCACCAGCTGCTCTGAGGGAGAATAACGGGCAATTTCCTCTTGGGCTATAGCTTTCTGAAAATTAGCTGGAAGTCAACTATGAGTTGGTTCCATCTTCATGGCAATGAGCCCTTAGGTAAAGGTGTTCTGGTGACAGCGCATTATGTGTGTGCTGCTAACTAGAAGGTCAGTAGTTCAAATCCACCAGTTAGCTGCTCTGAGGGAGAAAGGCAAGCAGTCTCTTCTCATAAAAAATGATACTCTTATCCCACCCACTGAATTTTTACAACATTATTTCCCAGTTGGTTGATGCCAAGGAAAAAAAGACATCTTTTTGACAGAGAGGATCAGTTACTTAAATGATTTCAGGGAAGTGTTGTATTTATGGTTTTACAATAAAATGACCTTTAGAAAAATAAACTCTTGGAAAACTAATGGTGGGTCACTATGAGCCAAACCAACTCAATGCAGTAGTGGCCTTAAATAGCTGAAGAGTACCAAAATCTATAGATAAACAGGTGTGCAACTCAGATATTTACAACACAATTTGTGAACCTCATGCCTAGTGATAAGGGGCCATGCAGCCAACTCAAGGCATGTGGTTCAAATCCGCCAGCTGCTCTGTGGGAGAAAGATGGGCAATCTCGTCTTGTGTAATTTACTACATCTGGAAATCGACTGGAGTGTCAGCTAGAAGTCACTTCTTATTCAACAATAACAACAACAATAAAGTGAGGGAGGAGGCTGTAAGGGTGGGGGGACCCCTCACACCAATAAATGTTCGCTTTCTCTATGTTGCTTAGTCTCCTAGGGTAAAAGAACCCTGCTATGGATGTGGGCATTTAATTTCAGAGCTCTAAATACATCAACTTTTAATTGATATTCTTTAAACACTGATTTTACTAAATCTCAAGCATGTTTTTGTTTCTTATTACAAGGGGCACCTTATCTACTGAGTTTATTGTATAATTCTCTGTAAAAATGAAAACTTTTAGTTCTAAATTAGATATTACTGTAGAAAAAGTATTAGATATTGGCATTTTACACATATGAGATGGATTAATTCAGTGACTGGGGTAATGGGGGTAGGTGTGTCAAAGACAATAAGATTGGTACAGGATAGAGCAGGGTGTAGGGTACATAACAACAACAACACAAGAAAAAACCCCCACAATTCTAAAATGACTTCAGAAGATAACAGACTTGTTTAAAAAGAACCTTAGATCACTTTAACACCGTCAACTAGAATGACTCACTTTGCCACCCAGGCATTAGAACATAAAAAGTAGTAATTTGTATTTATACCCTTTGTAATGTGTGGGAGAAGAGAGTAGAAATATGCAAATGAGTAATCCTTTTCCTGAAAATTATTTGACAATATAAGGAGTAATTGTATCTGTTTCATTAGACTGCTATTAGCTGGCGTTGAGTAGACTCCTACTCATAGCGACTATGTGAACAACAGATCATATTCTTGCCCTATCTTGTGCTAACTTCAAAACCTCTGCTATGGTCACGCCTATTGTTGTAGTCACTGTGGCAATCCAAATGTTAAAATGGCACCAAAGAAACAAAACAAAAAAGTTAAAAAAACTCTCTCCTTTTAATTTAGTTACTTCTTGTTGCTGTTGATTGTTGTCGAGTTGAGCATGACTCATAGCAACCCTATGAACAAAAGATCTGAAGCCTTTTTATAACTATCATAGTGTCTCAAAGTTCATAGAGTTTCCAGAGGCATGTTGTTTAGAAATTGGCTGCCACTCCGGCTTTAGTTATTTACACCTATGATATTACTGTAGATGTTAACAGATTTGTTTTACTTATGCTGTGGAATATAGGAGAAAAGAACACTATAAATTATCAGAAAAATTAAATATGAATATTTAAATTCAATATGAAAAATTATTATTTTCAGAAATTTATGAGTAGGTAATATATAACTTAGAATATCACCTGTACTTGTTATTTTGTATGTAACTGAATTTTTAAAATTCATATCAACAAATTATTCTTTTAAAAACAATTTGCAATATATACACACACATACACACTGACTATGACATTTCAGTGCATTAAGGCATCATATACGTTTCTAAATAAGGAAGCATTCTTATAGATAGCTTAATTTTGGAAGAATTTTATTTAAACAGTAAGTTAATTCATTTCAGAATCACATCTTCTAAAATAAATACAAAGAAACACTGCAATTGCAGTTGGATTTACTACTACAAGCCTCCTGCCAAGAGCAATCATTATGCCATCTGGTTTGACAAACTAAGAGTGCCAAAGAGTAGCCATTCAAGTAACAGCTTTTTATCTCCATCAGTAAACCCACTGCAGATTACTATGGTCCAGATTCAAAACCTAACTAATCTGGGAATCAAGCCACACTCCAGAGCCCAGCTGATTCCATACTAATGTGTATCATGAGTATAGCCTGCTCTTCTTAATTTAATAAATTACCCTCCTATAAAATGAGTTCATTCTGGGAACAATCATCTAACATCATGTTGAGTTGCTGTTGTTTCTAATTCAAGCTATTTTGTGTACTTCCATTAAAACTGGGAACAGGTTACTCCAAGATTTGCCCCAAACTTGCTTCAACACCATATTCTTGCTTAATAGAATCCAAAGCATTTAGCCCAAAATTTTATAACAAGCAAATAACTTTCACCTCTTGACTATTCATTCAAATGCAGTTGGAATGGATAGAGAATGAGAATCATTATCTCAGAAATGTTCAGCAGTGTCAATAGCAAATAACAGTTGATTGATGCCCAATTTAAATAGACTAAACCACTAGCGGAAGGGAAAAGGGTCTCACATCCACAAACCCTTTTCAAGTTGGCCTGCAAATGTTCTTTTGATTTGAAAAATGGTTGGTTATTTTTCCTCTTTATTTTAATGAAGCATTTTTTTGTTTGTTTGTAAAGAGCTGTTACATAATTTCACAATGTAGTATATATTTAAAAACACAATGGAAATAAAAAAATAAAACTTAGTGTAGACTTTCAAAGGACCCAAATATGGAAACTGTGAAGGGACATAGCTAGGGGCCAAACTGAGTTATTTCCTTAAGATATAAATAAGTTTTACATGTTATTCCAATATTTCCTCTAATCATGGTGATCTATGTAGCAACCTATACATAGAATAAAGAGTTACAACAGGGGGTTTACAGATAATTACCAAGAAATGGCATTGGTTTATGTCAAAAAGTGCTAGGAAATTAATGTGTGATTACAAAACATGAAGATTCTTTAGCTCTCAAGTTTTTCAAGTAATAAAATAGATTTGTCTTTGCTACCGAGGGAGTTCTGGTGGCTTAGTGGTAAGGAATTGCACTATCAACTCAAAGGTAAGCAGATTGAATCTACCAGTTGTTCTGCCAGAGAAAGACAAGTAATCTCTTTCTGCGAAATTTACTGCTTCTGAAAACCTGCTGGTGAGTAAACTATGGGTCAGATACAACTCAAAAGTATACAGCAACAACAATCTAGACAATACTTTCAGACTCCAAGTTTCCAGGCAAATGACTACCTTTCTGAAGGAGTTAATCACTTAGAAATCCATCGTTGGAGGCAAAAATTCTACCTACAACATTTGGAAAGAACATAATCTCAATGGTCAAAACAAAGTGAAGGAAAAGAAGATGTTGACAAAAGCCACATATTTAATACTCCAAACTTTTGTCTTATTATATAGTACAATACCCTTAAAATTCTTGTTTTCATTATCATATAGTTGCAACATTGGTAGTGACTTTAACAGTTCACCTAGTCCGGTTTTCTCATTTCCATTTTCTATCTCCTACTTCCGTCTTTAAAGTCTGTAGTATTAATGATAGTGTAACTATGAATCATCTGAGCAAATTCTTTCTAGCACTGTAGATTTACCTTAAAGTTTAGGAAGGGTCGCCCAGGGTCAGTACAGTAAATGCTTACTGTTGTTCCTACCTTTTCATTGTCCTAGTTGAAAAACATGAAAGTCAGACTACAGAAGCATGAAATACTCTAAGCCAGTACTCCCTGAAGCTTAATGCGGAAAGGAAACATTTGAGAGTATAGTGACTGAGGTAATAAACTTACTCAACATAGTATGTCCCATATTGAGGGTCCTCTATTTTCTCCCAACCATAAGGTAGTTCTGTAAGTAAACAAAAGGACTAGGTAAAAAAGCACATTCAAAACAGAAAATAATTAATGCCTAAGTGAAAGTGTTTTCCACTTCATTATACTAATATTTGAGAGACAGAAGATGAAGTTTCCTTTTTAAAGCACAAACACAGTTTAAGTCTAAATGGCTTTTTCAATCACCAGAGTATCTCAGCAATTAATTAGGAGAGCAGAACAAAAGATAATATTAAACTCAATGGCCTTTATCTGAATCATAAGCCATGAAGATGCTAATTATTTAAAAACCCATATTCCTTGATTTAAGAAGTCTGATAAAGTTGAAACGAGACATACTTACTCTGGAGTCAAACACCAAAATCAGCTACATTAGTATATTTTCTTCTCAAACATTCATATTATACTTTGAACCACTTATCTGGATTCAGTCTTGGGTTTACAACTTTTCAAGTGAGGAATCTACATTTGTTTATAATCTAAGAGAGTACTTTTTTCCTTTCTTTTACCTTGATCTGAATATCTGCAGGTGAATTAATTAAACTATTATGTTGTCTTGTATAGGTAATATTTCTTCGTGGAGAATAACAAAGAAATGTCTTCCACAGGATTCTAATAGTATTCATTCCAAGCAACTTGTAAAATATAAACAAAAAACTAGAATTTATAGTCACATTTCTGATAGACAAAATTTGGCTCTTCCAAAATGAGGTGACAATTCCAAGAAAGAATGAATGCTCAACCTTCTCTTCTTTGATTTGCATTCCTTGTAAATACTTTGACAGGAATGTCCCTAATAAATGGTTTTATTGTTACCCATTACTACATTATATTAAAAGGATTTTTAATTTTCATTTACTAATTACTTTTTTGAGTGGGTCTTTCATTCATTTTGTTTTATAGCATTAATTAGAATTGATTAAAATATTTGATCCAAACATTACTGCATATTGTCTTTCCCTTCATCCAACTTACTTATGAACTTTTACTTTTCTCTCTTTCCCTATCCTTTCCTAGTAACCATAAAAAAGGAATTTTTTAAAAATGGTTAGCTTTGCATTAATAATAAAAAGAGTAAAGGACTGGCTTCTTAATGAAAAGTTGTGAACCTCCTCCATTTTTCTATATTTTTCTGCTTTGGACATGTAAGGAAGGAGAGGTCCTTGGAGAGGGATATCATGCTGAGTGAGTTCGGCCCTTTTGATTTAATTTTAATTTAAAGGCATGTAGGAAACAGATAATATGTGTGAAGTACTTAAATAGTGCCTAAGACCAATAGAACACAATCAGATGTTCTTTTAAAAAAATAAAAAATAAAAGAGACAGTTCACTTGGCACTGGTGAAGGGACAGGGAGGACACCTGTGAAGATGATACTCAGTGTCTGGACCAAGGAACTGGAAGGATGTGAAATAATTTGTTGATGGCAGAGCAAGAAGATATACCAAAAAATCAATTTAACTTATTAGTGTATTACATTTGAGGGCCTTATAAAACATCCCGATAGATATCAAGTTCTTATAAATATGAATGTGGTGTTAAAAAATATGAGAAGATAGATTATAAAGAATCAGTTTGTAGACAGCAAAAGTTGGAGAAGTGATAAGATCACATAGATAAATTGTGAACAGTTTAAGAAGGGTCATAACCAAACAGAAAGAAGACGAACATTTAAAGAGCAAAAGAAGAAAGTTGAATCTAATAGGGAGAATGATGTCAGAGAAGACTGAATGGCAGTGTATGGTCAACATTACCGGGTACTACAGAGCTAAGAACTAAAGTTTGCCAATCAGGAGATTATTGATGACCTTTGGAAAAACAGGCACCCTGGGAAAATCAAAGCAAAAGTTATTGCAATGAAGATTAAAAATTAGAGTCCCTCATCAGATACCTGACTTTTTGTTTTAAAAATTGGTTGTAAAAAAAAAAGAGCGATAACTATGTGAGCCACAAGAAAATGTGTGTATCTTACTTCTGAGATAGGAAAGACCTAATCATCTTTTCCATTTGTTAGAAACAAAATCATTCCCCTCAAAATTGATTTAAATGGCAAAACTATTTCTGGTATAGAAAGCAGTTGGTTAGTTATAAACCCTACGAATTTATCCTTCTTTCTTTTTCTTTCCCAAATAGGATTTTTCTTATTTAAATGTATGAATTACAATTGCTTTCTCATTGTGGAGTTCTACTCAGCTGATAATTTCCTTTTATCTCTCTCTAAGCTCCAAATGACATAAACATTCAAAGTATTTTAAAGCTGCCTTTAGGAAAAATTTAATCTTCCTTTTACCATAAGAAAAACGGGTGGGTTGAGAATAAAATGGATTTCTGATGTATTTTTAAGATAACTATTTAATAAAAATACTAATTATTTTATTTTAAATGTTAGGTAAAAATCAATTAAGCCAACAGATACAGTATGAAGACAGAGGTAGGCCCTGAGTATGAGAAGACTAGGGAGTAAAGAACAAGGTTCAGGAAGCGTAAGGTCTTTCTAGAAAATATTAAATGTTCAGCAGAATGTAAACAATATACTAAATTATAAAAACATACACTGTCAGATTATTATTATCATTAGCCCCTTTTGAGCATCTACTTGTGCAAAGCATCCTGAAGAATACCAACGAGAGTCAGATAGATTCTTTTCCGGAAAGAGCCTATGACAGCATGGTGAGAGCAGAGGAAAAAAGCATACACTGGTAGTGGCAAAGGTCTATTGAATACAAAACAAACAGGCTCAAGATTTCCAACAGTTGAGCTCCCCATGACATAAGCAGAGAGATTAAAAACTCAGCCAGATGTGGGGACAGAATAGCTTTTATGCTTAAAGATTAAGAACTGCAAGGCTGCTATAAAATATAAACAGCATGATTATATAATGTATTGCCTGCTTTTTAAGAGTAAAAGAGAATACTATTAATATTTATGCCAAAACAACAGGTACAAGCTGAATTGTTGCTGTTAAGTGCTGTTGAGTTGTAGGCGACTCATAGTGACCCTATGAAAGAAAGTCCTCGACACTTGCGTGACTTTCATCCTCTCTCCAGTTTCATAGAGTTTCAGGAGACAAGCTATTACGGAAGTGGATGCCACTCCTGCTTCCAAGCTTGTTTTAATTGGGGAGCACCATCAAATACTGTCTGCCATGGGTAACCATTATCGCATTTTACACCTCAGTGTCCCAGCGTTCAGCTTCACAGCAACCACAAGTTGCTGCTGTACGGCAAGTGGACACACCAGGGCTATATGACCTACAAGAATCCTGGGAAAACCAAGACATATGGAACTGTATGGTTAATTTTATATGCCAAGTTGGCTAGTGTATAGTTTCTGTTGGATACTCAAATATTAATTTGGATGTTATTATGGGACAGAATCTATTCCAGTCGCTATGGCATTGATTCTGACTTATGGCAACTCCTCAAAGTTTTTAGTGACTGATTTCAGAAGCAGATCATCAGATTTTTTCCCTAAGGTACCTCTGGGTACTTTGAACTTCCAATCTTTGATTAGAAGCTAAGTCCATTAACCACTTGCACTTAGCTGGGGACTTAAAAAATGAAGTTACATGTCATTAAATCAACTGGCCTAAAGCAGTTGACTCTTCATAATGTAGATGAACTCAAAGCTCAAACTCACTACCACTGAGTTTTATAGCAACCTGGCTTTCCAAATTGTAAATTACAACAGGAGGAAAATACCAAAATGTCTGTATGAATTTACAAATATATGCATGATTCTACTACTATATATACAAAAGAACATCCTCAAGAAGTATTTAAAAGGAGATGAAGATTAAATAAACAAAACTGTTTTACCTTGATGAGGTAAAAAAGTTCATACAGGGTACATGAAAATTGTCAGCTTTAATATTGTCTTACTATTGTTCTGTTTCCATGAGTCAGAACTAACCCATAGCTGACCTTCCAGTGAGGTATCAGAGGCAGTAAATCACATGAGAGGAGATTGCTCACCTTTCTCCTGCAGAGCTTCTGGTGGACTTGAACTCATGCTTTTGGGATTGCAGAACAGCTTCTTATCACTAGGTGTTTGCATACTGTATTATGTTCAAGTGTTGATACTTTTTTGTTTCTGTGGGTTAGTTTAAGAACTATGCAACATAAACTATAAATCCAACTGACTGGCCAAAAGTAAATGAAAAACTACTTCACAGGGCATTTGAAAAGATTAAGGGTGTCACAATATTTTTCCATTAACAAATTCTGAGTAGTTATCTTAGCTATCTAGTGCTGCTCACAATCTAGGAGGAAGGTCTTTGCTGCAAATGTCCGTAGGCATCCTTTGGCATTCACATGCGTGTTGGCATCAATCTTTCCTTGGATATAGGATGCACCCAGTTAACACTGCATCCCAAGGATGTCCTCTTCTCCTTTTTTGTTTATTAATGTTGTCAGGGATTTTATTAGATGAATGGTCAATGCTCACAGAAGCGGTGGTCAATAAATCAAACAACATATTATGTTGGGCAAATTTGTTGCAAAAGATCTCTTTAAAGTGATAAAAGAACAAGGATATCTTTCTGAGGATTAAGATATGTGTGACCCAGGCTGCATAATGGAGTAGATTTGGGGGGAGGGATTGTGTAACAATGAAATAACTTTTCTTTTACTTTTCAAAGAAAAGAAAGAACTGCAGGGGAGGGATGGGCAGGGAGAAAGTGCAATAATGAATGAATGGAAATCCAAATATCTGTAAATTTTCCATCAATAATAATAATAATATGTCTGACCCAAATTACACTATTTTCTATTACTTCATATAAACCTATTTAAAAAAACACATGCAGAAACTTTACACATTGACATCACCATGGACTGTGTGGAAATTAGAGTGACTGTCTATTGAAGGAATCATTGCAGAAGCTCTCAGTATCAGCAGTCAAAACAAGGCTAGGTGCTGACTATGCAACAGGTCATCAATTACTCATGTGCCAGTTCAAATTGTGGCTAAACAAGATTTTAAAAAACCTCTAAGAACCAAACTATGTTCTTGAGTC